TAGAGACCCTATTATACGTTTATACTACATGACTACAATACACCTGTATATTACAGACCCGCCCCGGCTTCGCACGGGTGCAATATGTATGTATTATACGTATAAACCTTCCTTAACAATCACTCTATCTATTAAAAAAAACCGCATCAAAATCTGTTGCGTAGTTTTAAAGATCTAAGCATACATAGGGACAGACAGACGGCGGAGACCGACTTAGTTTTATAATATGTAGTGATAGTACCTACATTGCTAATTTTAGGTTTAAAAAACTGCTTCCAAACATAGGTAACACAATTCCAAGCTAAAACCTTTATAATCCTCTGTCTAGCCTATACAGGATTATACCAGGGATTAAGATGTTTTTTTCCAAAACTTAACACTACTTTAGCCATTTGACCTGGCCAATGACTTAAAATTAACGAGGTTCGCCTTAATCCAATTATGGAACGTCTGGGTAAGATTTAATTGAATGCTGAATCAGGCTTATAATGTTAGCTTCTATCGTTTTGGTCTGACTATGCTTGGTATTGGAACTCCAATAATCATGGTGAAGGTGAAGAATTACTGTTTCATTCAAGAATTGTGAACCTGATTGGAAAAGAGAAACCTATTGAGTTTCTAGCTCGTTCTTCTCCATACGAATCTACACATTGGAATGAGCAAAGCTTCATTTTTATTATTTTTTTTGTTGACGTTCAAAAGTGCCATCCTGGTGTAATTGAAATTAATTATTCTGACTTTGATTTTGAAGTTTATTAGCAAGTGCTTAAAGACGTAGCTCCGTCTACTCGTTTACCGGCTTATAAAATGTTAATACAACACTTTGTGCGCCCATGATCTGTCATGTAGTTATCGTACTTTCAGACCTTTCCGAAAAGACCATTTAGTTTTTGTTTCTAGATCGGTACTTGTTATGCAAAACTGTAATTTTTTTTAGAAGTACGAAAAGTACTTCTGTGAGGCTTTCCTATCTTCCTTTAGTTTCATTAATTTGAGGAATTCCCTAGAAATTATGAAGGGATATGCGGAAGTAATTATGTACGTAACTCATCAAATTCTTCTCCTTCTCTGTCGTTTCGCTCTTGGCAGAGCGGTCGTGGTCACGTTGAGGCGGCCGTATTTGTGTTGGTGGCCAATACAGCTTTCCTCACGATCTCCCGCCATCTATCTCTCTCTGTTTCTGGATTGTCCGGCGCAGTCCGACACTGGGTTTCCCGTTGCCGATTTGACTTGATCAGTCCAGCGCATAGATAATCTGCCTCGTGATCTGGTTCCCTCTACCTTCCCCTGAACTCATCAAATTGCATTATGCCATACAGTTCAATTATTTTCTGCGTGAAACAAAAACTAAAAATGCAAATAGTCATGTCATGTCAAGCTATCGTCTGTAACATTTTCAAAGGAAATGTAGTGCAGGAAACGAGTTTAGCATGTTGCAAATATTCGTGGTTGGCTGTTTGCTAGGAATATGCATATCGTTAAGGACAAGAAATGCGACTGGTTCCAAACTATTCGATTTCCTGTTTGCAATCGATTAAAAAGTTGTAAGTCCTTACTTTCTATGGTTGTACTTGAAGTCAGGTGGCTAGCCGCCTTCATCTAGATGATGGTGTGCCTATTAAATCTGTATGGTGTTCCTTGCTAAATATGTTGTAGAAGTTTGATTGTGTCTGATGATTATGGACACACATACAAGACCTTTTTATATATTTGATGGGCTGACGTTTGACCACTATCTCGCCTGGTGGTAAGCGATGTTGAAGTCTACGATCGAGCACGTCGTCCCGCAACCTATTCACTCGGGCTTTGAAGACACCCAGACCCTTGAGGAAATACAGACTCTGGCAAAGAATTCCACTCCTTAGCAGTACGCACAAGGAAGCTTATTGACAGATTTATTCTATCTATAAAATCAAAATTATTTTCAATTTCATGAAAATTATTAGACTGCCTCGTTGGCCGAGTGGTCGCAAATGCGACTGCAGGGCAAGGGGGCTCCGGGTTTTAAAAAAAAATCTCAGTAGTAGCACGGATTCTGGAATTGTGTCCGGTATCATAGGCTCACCCCCTATTACACGGGACTCATAACATAAATAGTGAAAAGTGGGTGTTACATTGTACAGTGGCATTTAGTGCCGTAATGTACACCTCTGCCTACCCCTTCGGGGATAAAAGGCGTGATGTTATGTTGTTGTAGTTATCAATTAATGATATCTTTATTAGCGTAAACGTATTACCCGTACAAATAGATCCCAGTACAAATACATCCCAGTACAACAGCCTATAAATACGCGACTGATTGGAAATGACCGTAAAATATAAGTCCGATTACACACGCCTGTTATGAAGCAATCGTGTACAACACTATTGCAACAACACGAACAACGTATGAAGTAAATGTCGCTTTCAGTGTTGCAGTATAAGGATTACATGTGTGGGAAGCCTAATTGAAGGTATTATGCAAACAAGGCGCCACTCGAATGTGGGTTAGCCTTTATGTGGATGTTTAGGTATTGTTCTTTATTAGATGGTGACGAGAGATTAGATATTGGTTGTAAATCTTAAGAGATACTTTGCTCTTTGCAATATGTGAAATACACATCAAATAAGAAAATTTTAGAAAGGTCTCTAAATAATTAATTGTTAATAAAACCAGCTTGAGGTGTCTCGGTTATGTTAGACATATTTCAAGAACTCTTCTGAGTTTTTATAATAACTATCTTGAGATTTACTATATTGTCGACGGAGTTTTTATAATAACTATCTTGAGATTTACTATATTGTCGACGATCGAGTATATACTCTTTACACAGAAGAGTTAACTAAAAATTACGAGTCACACACGTAAATATACTGAGAAAAGCTCTACTAGTTTCGAGTCACAGAGGGGCTCTCCCTCATGAGCAGCATGCGCGGTCGCGGCGACGTTGCGCAACCTACTGGGAGCCCAAATGTCTATGACAGGCACTCCATATAGTCTAGTTCCAACCAAATTTGAAACTAATAAACCAAACAGAGCAAATCGAGTTAGGAAGAGGCAATCAGGAGTAACTTAAAACTTGAAGGAGAATTTCGCAAACAATATATATATATATAACATCACGCCTTTTATCCCCGAAGGGGTAGGCAGAGGTGTACATTACGGCCCTGTAACACCCACTTTTCACTATTTATGTTATGAGTCCCATGTAATAGGGGGTGAGTCTATTGCCATTTACCGGGCACAAGTCCAGGCTCCGTGCTACTACTGAGATTTTTTGAAAAAACCCTGTGTTACTTTGCCCGACCCGGGAATCGAACCCGAGACCCCTTGCCCGGCAATCGCACTTGCGACCACTCGGCCAACGAGGCAGTCTCGCAATTTCGCAAACAATGAAGTCATTAAATCGAAATATGATCGACCTCGGAAGTATAAAGATGGATGCCCGATAAGTATTCGCATTCGCGTAACGAGATAATCTTCCTTAAAATAAGTATGAGCGGTGTCGTAAACCCAATGCAAGAGGTAAGCATAAAAACGTGATTGTAAAGCTTGTTGCCGGCATGGGAACCACGTTCACTGCATTGATGTAATAGTAGACGGTCCATGCGTGTCGTAAAACGAGAGACGAACGAATAATTTTTTGGGTAGCCTGTTCGTGTATTAAAATATTGGAAAGAAAGGAACAGGAATTATGTTGATAGTGTTTCGTTACGTTTTGTATAGTGTCAAATATTGATATTTAGATTCAAGTATACAAATGACTGATAAATAGGTATACAAATTACTGGTAAAACTAGTAGACCTAAAAAACCCACGATTTTTAGTTAATTTTGATAAATGGGTTGACAAAAACGGCTGGCTATAGCCTAATCCATCGATAGTTTTTAATACTGAAAGATTATTTTGGATACAAGGATGACTAATATAAAGACTACTTCTCGTTTGAGAATGCGCTATTCGGTGTTGAATCACAGTTGTTCTCAAATTCCCGTATGACAGAGTATTTATAAATAAAAGCTGATTCGGCAGATAAGATTGGTTTGGATAAACTCGAAGTATACATATGGCAATTTATTTGAAAGGTTCTCATTCATATTATTTTGATTTATGACACTAAGTTTGGATCGGCTTCAGTAAAGAAGTAATCTATATCACTCCAATCTCCCTCCCTACCTCCAGAAAGACAAACAAACATAATTTCGCATTTATAAGTAAAGGTCTAAAATAATACGCAGGAAATTTTCAATACAAAACATTCCCAATCTTACTAGGAATGCTAAAACTGAGACAATTTTAAAGTTTATATAAAAACAGACTTTTTGCTACGCAATGACTAATGACTGGTCTACTAGATAAAATATATTGCCTAACCGTAATAGAATTTAATCAACGCAATGTAAACTAATTAGTATTTCGTAACAAAATAATAAACTGCCTAACACATCGGAAAAAAATGTAATCAGATAGGCGAATGGAACATGATAGTAAAGCGATATTATTTTGCAATAATTGATTAGTGTTTACTTCATAAATAAGTTTAATAAACACACGTACCATGATTTAACGTAAACGAAGGAGAATTAACCGAACTACACTAAACTAGGTGTTTTGATACACAATTCTATGTGTAACGAGATCACGTGTAAATATTTCAGGATAGCGTAATGTTATTTAATGTAGGTATGTGTGTTATACCTTTTTGTAATGTATGTATACAAAATGTAACACACAATTTTCGCCAGACTATGAGAAAATTGAAAGATCCGTTAATACAGTCCCAAAAAATTAAAGAACTCAATCAATTTTACCCTGCCCGGGTATTGAACCTAAGACTTCTTGGTCGCCCTTGCGAGAACGTAGTGTTCTTATACTTTATAATTATATATACTTAACAAAATGTGCATAATACAAAAACAATCTCGCAATAGCAACACTTAATCATAATATATTTTTATTTCTTTATCAATTCCTCACAACTATCGAAATCATGGTAACTTTATGTAACACTGTTTCGCAGCGGCGGTGGGAGGTTTCAAGCCGGCGCAAGCGCAGGCCTCGCGGCGTGCGCAGCCTCAGGAAAAGATCAGGTCGGTATCAACAATACTTCCTACATCATTTGTTGCTCGTCACCCGTCACGGACGGACGTACGCTAAGCCCTTTATCTTATCACTCATTATTGTAAAGTGGACTTTATTGTGCTGTTGTACAGTGTTATGTGAATTAAAACTCGTATGACGACCTTTGGATGTGTTGAAAGTGAATCTGTGTAAGTTTTCAGTGGTTTTTGGATTTGTGTTATGCAATTTTGGGTTTTTTGGAAGGGTTTGTATGCTCTATCATCAAATTAGGTCATAAAATCTTGGTAATTGTGACGTAATCCTTTGACATGTCATCATTATTAAAGGTCATTGCGTTAAAAATAATGTAACAATGAACAAAAAACAATCAATCAAAGTTCGATACCACGATAACTTTGACACTGACAAAGAAATTGAAAGTGATGGAAATAATAAAAGTCCTTGAGTATGTAACAAACAACGATTAAGGAAAATATATACACAGCTGTACAAAGTAATGTAAAAACATTAATTTGCAAGCCAATAGTTATTTACGTTTCGGGGAACAATGACGCATGATTCGTAATTATATGCATACTCATTGCTCAGTGCATAGAGGTTGGAGTTAATTGCGTGGTTATAAACGTGCTAAGGACATTCTGTGATTTGTTTTAATAAAGGTACGTGAAATGGGGAGTGGTTAATAGTTCATAATAGTGTGTAAAATGTGTTCTTAATATTTGGTTTATAAAGAGTCATATTTTATCAAGTCTTTAAATGACACGGGGGATATTTTTAAGCCAACTGAATCCAAGATAAATATTTCTTTAAGTTCCTAATTGTATATTCTTTGGGTTAATCATTTTATTCTTTGTCAAAAAACGTCAAAATATTACCTAAATGTCTTCAATCACATAATTTTAGCCATATCATTTTAAAAAGACCTTGCTGCACTCAAATTATTCAACATAACATTTTTATCAGCGTGGTAATCGAATAGAAATATCATAAATCAAATTGTGAATAACACATTATATTTGTACAATAGTGTTGTACTTGACCGCTTTTATGGCGCTCGTCCGCGATTTATTGACAATCAACATAGACATTTGCCCCCTTCACTATTGTATTGTATTGAAATGAGAGGCGAGTAATGTGCAGATTCGATGAAGTAACGACTCGGCAATTAGCTGCTAATAGATCATTTCTTAGTTATTTGTTAATCGTTATTGTTATTTGCATAACGTTATCATTGTTATTGTGATTTAATATGAAGTGTTTTGGAAACGCAGTTTTGCTGTAGTGTAATTTTTGTGAAGGTCACGTATTTTTACCGATGTTTATTTGGCTATTAAAGTAATAATCTCTAGCAATCGAACGATAATATAATTCCTTTCCAACCAATCAAACACTATATTATCTAGCTATCTCAACTCCACAATACAATGCTTCCGTATCCCTATAAGATAAGTCAGTCTAATCGTAAATAGCAACACGACACCTTTAGTTTCCAGCCATTATTTCTCTGGCTATTACGAAAGTATTCTCAACCACCTTGTAGTCAGACTTAGATAGAATGTTAGTCTGTTGTGCAATATGTAAGTTGGCAATAAGCCCTTTCTAAATCCTATCGTATATCTAGCAGATTTAAGTTGGATTTGCTTAAATTGTTTTGGATCCCTTAACAAGTCATCTCAGACTTAGGAAAGGCGTTTGATATGATAGACACTTTGAAGTCCAAAAATTTTGTAATACCAAGGTCGTATAAAATATTGCTAATTGCGAATGTTCAGACCACCAATAACCTTCGAATTGTATGCACAAGCGAAGTTTCTTTTCACCTGAATCATCATTGCGGTTTCTGCAACTTGTCTAAATAAGAAAGAACTAATAAATTCACTCTCATTTTGTGTTTGTATTGACATCATGAATAAGGTCAAGTAATGTCTTGTAAATATGATTGCCACATGTGTCTGCTGACAATTTTGAACCCCTAAGTGAGGTCAGTTTAGAATTTCAGTGTTCATTTCGATAAATTGAGCAACCACAAGACAGTATGAGTAGAACAAAAGTAACGAACAATAAACACGTAACCATAACAAATAAAAACAACACATATATCAATATACAGCAAATTGTAACCACTAACGATGTTACAAAATACGATTACCAAACTAGGTCCAGACAAAGAGCAGTGATGTCAACAACATCAACATTCAATTACACAAACCGGCGAGTGGCCGAAAACGGTTGAAAGTGTGCCACGGAGAGAGGGGCAACTAGTGTTCGACTGGCGTTCGCTGGCCTTGCCCCACTTGGAGTTACGTGACTGCGGTAATAGTAGCCGCACAATGGACGTGACAAGTGCGACTATGACTTTTGATGATGATGATGATGATGATTTTGGGAGGTTAGGTTATGTATGGCACGTGTACTGCTCTTGATGCGCATTGGTCTATTGTCGTAGGATTGAATCTGTGAATGGTAGTAATGTCTAATGCTCTCAGATAAGTAAGACATCAAGGTCATGCATTATAAGTTATTCTTGTTCCCAGATCTGGCTCAACGAAACCTCGGCGCCCAGATCGTGCTGTGTACGTGCCCCGCGCCCTGCGAAACGCAGAGAGTGCACAAACTGAGGACAACAATAAGGATACCAACAACCATCGCAGAACTAGTCACAGTGCGGAAGGTGTCAAGTGTCCTAAGTCACCCGCGCCCAAAGAGAAATCACACCACGGCACCCCCAGGAAATCTATAGACAAAGCGTACTGCAATGTGTACACGCCACCGCATCTCAGGAATCAAAGATCTCACACGGCCCCAAGCATAGAGGAACCCACATCGAGCGATACAAAAGAATCTGTGCCTTCAGGCTTCCAAGTGCCAAATAGTGATAGTGCAATATCTTTTAGTGATAATAGTTTTATTAACGACATAGAAGTAGGCGATAATTTTTATATAGGAGATTATTTCGCTAACGGACAGTTAGGATTCTACAGTCCGAACTTCTACAGCGAGTACGCGGAAAACAGTCGCGAGAACGCGACCGACAATAGCGACTGGAGATCCAATGATTCCGACGAAAATATGGCGGTGAACGAATCGAATCAAAGCAATAATATTATCGATAACGATTATTTGTACGCTAAAGGTGAAGATATTGAAAAGAATGAGCTGAAACGAGCCTCGCAAGAAATTAATAGAAGTAGCAAGAGAATTATAAAACAGAGCTTCCATTCTGACGTGTTAGTTATATCGGATACTGTTGATAGTGTCACAGAGAAGAATGAGCCTGAACCAGTGGTAGCGGTAGAAGAGAAAGAAACTGAGGTGGTTAAGAAACCGAAGCCTAAGCTAGAGGCGAAGGTGTCTTTGAAGCGAGAAGAGAACGATTGGGACGCAGTTTTCGATGACAGTGGAGAGTGCCTTGATCCTTCACTTCTTGAGGAGTTGACGACTACAGTTGGCAAGGTCCACATAAGCAAGCCAAAGAACTGTTACGACCAGTACCAGACGAGAGGTCAGCAGCTCTTCAACGGTCCTTATGACGAAACGTTCGGTCATGTAGTGGAAGTGTATGACTTTCCCAGTGAGTTTAAAACGAACGATCTGTTCTCTTTGTTCAGTGAATACAAAGACACTGGTTTCGAAATTAAGTGGGTGGATGATACGCATGCGTTGATCGTGTTTAGCAGCGCGAAAATTGGTGAGTTGCTTTTAATTATTTTTCTATACTAATATTATAAAAACGGAAATATTGTATGTTTATTTGGGATCATTATTTATTTTAATACAAGTTACATTTACTAATGATGGTCCCTATTGTTCAAAAATTTTAAACTGTCAAACACCAAGCGGTCACCGGTGACCGCGACCTATTGTTCTTTAATTGTGTCTATAAAACCGGTACTCGACGAGTTAATACTAGATTTTCTACAACTAGATTCTTTTTTATAGGCCATATTTATAGTAGCACATTTTCCCTTATTATACGTTCTTTAAATTAAGGAAGTTTTTTGTAATTCTGTTATCGTATCTACATACAAATAACGTCTATAAAATCGCCGATGACTTAACTGTTGTAATATATTAATCGGAACGTGTTCAACCGGACTGAATGACACCAATAACATTAGAGTATCAACTCGCGACCTCGATGACGTTATGATGACCAAAACAAAAATGTTTTTATCGCTGTTTTCTTGTAGATAACTTTAGAAACTTCCACTTAATTCTGAATATAAGGTCCTAAATGGCCCCCTAACTAGTCCTAATTCATATTGGTTATATGGAACTTGTAGGATTTTGACAAAATCACGTGCCAAGACTGACGCTAAAAATGTATGCCGTATTATTTATCTAATACGGAAAATATAGCGTATTTATTGTTAACGTGTGTTATTATTGGTTGGGTATTATCTTTTTAATTTACTATCGTAATTTAGTAGTATTATCGGTGTTGTTGCTTATACTTAGTACAAAAATAATTGACAAATCAAGTACCGCGTTTGGAAAAGTTTTTTAAGACAAAGGAATTCATTCCAAAGTTAGTCTATGAACCCCCGTTGTAGACACAAAGTGGTCGTATCCCCTTTTTTAGTTGTAAACAAGTACTTGAATTTTCTTCGTTGCTCAGTGCATCTTATTTTATCCACCCACTAGCTACTTCCGCGCGGTTTCACATGCTCTGCTCAGCTCTTATTGGTTGTAGCGTGATGTTTTATAGCCTATAGCCATCCTCGATAAATGCGCTATCCAACACAAAAAGAATTATTCAAATCAGACTTGTAGTTCGGAGATAAGCGCGTTCAAACAAACAAACAAAAAAACAAACTCTTTCGCTTTATATAATAGTATAAGATATAAGATTTGCTAGAGTTAGCCGAGAACCGATAACGGTTCTTAGGACATTTTTGTCAATATGTGTATGTGAACTGCAAAATCTGTTTTCCCAAGCGAATATGATTTCAAGTGCAAGACATATCAGTGCCATTTTGTTATCACTTGTCAATACTGTTTACTTTAGATAGTGTATGTTTGTTTGTAGATAAAAATACGACTTGTTACACACTGTATACACTATACATTCCGTACGTAATCTAGACAAGTGGTGTTTTGTAGATTTGATTTGCGTACTCGCAGATTTGATAGTTTAAATCCGCTAGTTGGTAGATTCGAAACTATTTTAAAGGTTAACAGTGATGTTTTTAAAATCGGTCTTCTTTTATTTATTTTTTTAAGAGGGAATATCATCGAATGACTACTCCCGCTTGGGTGAGGCGGGAGGGAGTTTCAGATCTTTACTAATTAAAAACCACCCCGTTCCTTCTCCTGCGCTTTGAGCCGGAGCCCCTGTAACCCGTTAGGTTTAAAATCGGTCTAGCTAAAGAATTCGGTTAAAAATGACGTTGAAAAGTAGAATAAAGTAAAGCACGAAGCGCTTCGCATCAAGCTTCCTTGTGCGTACTGCTAAGGAGTGGAATTCTTTGCCAGAGTCTGTATTTCCTGAAGGGTATAATCTGGGTGTCTTCAAGGCCCGAGTGAATAGGATGTTTATGGGTCGACTTGCTCCATCGTAGGCCACATCATCGCTTACCACCAGGCGAGATAGTAGTCAAACTTCAGTCCTATTTAATATATAAAAAACTATTATAAATTTTATTTGACCATATTTTTAATTGTCTATCCAATCCTTACTTATATATATATATATATATATATATATATATATATATATATATATATATATATATATATATATATATTATATAATATTATAAATCTGAAAGTGAGTTTGTTTGTTTGTTTGTTTGTTCCACCTTCACGCCGTAACTACTCAACCGATTGCTTTGAATTTTTGCAGACGTAAAGTTAGAAGTCCAGATTAAATAATAGGGTACTTTTTATCCCGGAAAAAATTGATATTCCCGAGAAAAAACAAAAATATTGGTATAGATGGCGCTGTGTGTACTTTTGTGACGCGAGCGAAGCCGCGGGTAAAAGCTAGTGTTGAATAAAAATAAATCAAGATTAAGTCAAATGTGTTCTAGAACATACTTTTCTTAAGGATAAATGTGTAGTATTTTATCTGCACGTTGGATTCCAATACTCTTTAATTTAACTATCAAAATAGTATTACGTAGTATAAACAAGTTGGTATAACCCAAATTACAAGATAATGTGTGCTAATTTCATGTTCTATTTACTATTTTTGTTTTCATACATCTGAAACCTAATTGCTAGCTGAAGTTATCGAGTTTACGATCCAAGAAAAACAGACGAAAATTGATGTAAATGAGACCGGAATGAAGGAACACTTATAAAAGCTGTGCAAATGTTATGTCATAAACTACTTATTACTTCACTACATAGTATAAAACAAAGTCGCTATCCGCCGTCTGTCTGTCCCTATGTATGCTTACATCTTTAAAACCACGGAACGGAATTTGTACTGACTGGTCACAATTGCGACTGCCGGGCAAGGGGTCTCGGGTTCGATTCTCGGGTCAAGCAAAGTATTACTGGGTTTTTTAAAAATTCTGAGTAGCAGCATTGTGCTCGGTATATGGCAATACGCTCACCCCCTATTACATGGGACTGATAATATAAATAGTGAAAAGTGGGTGTGCACCTCTGCCTCTGCCTTCGAGGATAAAAGGCGTGATGTTATGTTATGTTATGTTATACACTCATAAAAATGCTGTTGTTAACCAACTTCTCTTCACACCAATAAAAAAGGTTGGCAAACCCCGCCAAATAAGTTTAAACGCGTAATAAAATACTTATTATTTAATTCTCTTGCATAAATGTACGTAAGTCAGGTATGTGAAGTGGGTGGACTCATTATTCGAGTTAATTGACCGAAAAGTGGTAAGGCACGTTGCGCCGGCGCAGCCCGCGGTTTACCTGCCTGATTGGCGCGGTTTCTATTGGTTGGTAGTTATGCATGTATTATGGCAACTAGTTGTTAGTGCCATTGTACGTAATGGTTTTTTATTGTAATTCGTACTGGGAATTAATTAATAATGCGTTGAAAGTAATAGATTGTTTATGTTGTGATTTATGATGTAGTGATTTTTCAATACTGTCTTGTTGACCGAGTGGTCGCAAGTGCGACTGCTAAAAAGAGGAAGTGTCAGACTCTTACTGACTAAAAACAACCCTGTTCCTACTCCTGCTCTTCGAGCCGGAGATCCGCGCGACTTAGAATTGCGTGACAGTCCTCTTCGTATTCCGCAGATGAGAGGACTTCATGAGAAGTTCCCTGCACTTTGAGGTGATAAAATTATATCGATCTAAACGTCTTTGAGTTATAATTAAACTAATACATTGCTACTGCGATATATCTAATTTATATCAGCATCCATTCGTAATTAATTACTCGTCGATAAACCAACCTTTATAACGTTTTTAAGTTAAGTATGTAATTTGTAATCTACATGGTATGCTTACATTCTTAATGACGTAATGGCAACACCTGTTGCATTGAATGCAGCGCTTATCAGCCAAATGTTATCACCGGCGTGTGACGTAATTACACGTAACGTTTTAATAACAGTGACGTAAGGATGTAGTATGGAATGATGGGCTGGTGTACTGTGTAGTGGTGACATTCAGACATTTGTCTTGTTGTAAAGCATTGAGAACCTAACGTGTGTCGTGGTGGCCCGGAGGTTTAAGACGCCCTCTTCTCATGCATGAGGGTGCGGATTCGAAACCTACCAACGGCAAGTACCAATGTGACCTTTTCGCGAGGTATATGTACTTTCTAAGATTATTTAGACACCACTGACAAACGGTGAAGGAAAAACATCGTGAGGAAACCTGGACTTATAATTTCTAATTATAAGTTTGAAATCGCCAACCCGCATTGAGTAAGCGTGGTGATGAATGCTCTAACCTTCTCCATGTGAGAAGAGGCTTTGCTCAGCAGTGGGCATTTATAGGCTGTTGATGATGATGATGAGAACCTAACGGGTAACTGGGGCTCCGGCTCGACGTGCAGGAGAAGGAACGGGGTGGTTTTTAGTCAGTAAGAGTCCGACACTCCCTCCCGCCTCAACCAGGCGGGAGCAGTCATTCGATGATTTTCCCCCCTTAAAAAAAAGCATTTGTCCTTATTTTCTACGGTAGTCGAATTACTAGGGTTATTAAAAAAATAAAACAGAATCACCCTTTACGTGAACGTTCCTTAATGTTTACGAAAAGGGTGATTCTAGAAAAATTAAGTTATAAAGTAATATTTAATTCGATAGTGGCGCCACTTAATGACAATAAATTCCTAAGCCCCCATTCACGAACCCGAACTACCTATAATTTAAGACTGTTCTCATAATCCAAACTTATTTAACTACACGCATTATTGTTAGCTCATATTCTCGTAATTTACCAAAAAACACTGTTTTCATGTCACCAAGGTAATTTTTGTCGACTTCAACGATGTCTAAGATGCATTGTGTGGTGACAAAACGAATCTGTGTCGAGGAGACAGAAATTATAATGGCCATAACAAACGTAATTTGATATTGCAGAACAATATCAAAGAAAAAACACCTTATGAAGTAGTTACTTCTATTGTTCTGATATTGAGTAACCGTGTCCCTAAACCTATTGAGAACTTCGTCTTGGTTTTAAACCTTTATGAGTTGAAAGACTTTTTTATGGCATAAGACGGTAAACGAGCAGACGGATCACCTGATGGTAAGC